CTGAATTCCTTGTAGAATATAAAAATTACAAAGTACTTGCAAACTATTGAAATCTTTAAAAGTATGTACATTATAAAACGAACCCAGCTTACTCAAGTGGCCTATATTTTTCAACTTACACTGAATAAATTATGGAAAATAATACCTCTTAATAAAGAAGTCCATGAAAAGTTAAACTACCAGGGACCATACATAATGCATTGCATATATTAAACCTGGTGATGTAGATAAGCCTAAGGTTTTGTCTATCTTATGCTGATTACTTCACTATCTCATCGTGAATAATTGGATAATATATTGGCTTCTTTTTGTACACTTCAATATTTCTTCCATGTATATTTGTTGTTGGGGGTTAGGTCTGAGTAGTCTCACAAACCCCTGAAAAATTTATTCGCCATAATTTCCATGTCAAGGAAATATTCACTAGATAAAAGTTCAACAATTCTGTCACCTAAATAGGGTCATAATACTTAATAATGAATCCCCGAATAGAAAATCAATCATAGCTTTCCTACAATATTTAGTGAGATTCATGAAGAGATTTCCTGCTTAAACAATTTAAATTGAAAGACACACACGGGCGACCTAACCGAGTATGTGATAATTGAGAAAGGAAAGATCCACCCCAAACCTGAAAGAAAACACGAGAAGCCAGAAGGGCAGTGCTGCAAAGACACGTTTGACAATGGTAAGATCTAGCTGGAGTAGGAAAAGCAGATAGGTAGATCCCTAGGAAGTGAATTCTACATGGCACTGGAACTGATGTTGTAAACCAAAAAGGCTTTCATTTATTAATTGCATTATATGTTAACAAGAAGTATCTTGGTCAAGATGTGCAGTATTTGAATTTCTTCTGAATGAAATATCTAGAGAAGAAAAAAGAAAATAGGCAAAGGAATATTGCAGGACAGGTATAATACCTTTTTTTCTTAACAATATAGATAATGCATTCTTATCATCTATTTTCACCCTTGTTTGACTTCCACAATAACATCTTCATTGGACATCAACCTAAACATGTATATATGAGTTCATACTCATGACTAAGAATGGAAGTATGATAAAATTTAAAGAATAAACTCACATTTCTGACTAAAATCAATACACCTCAAGGATGAGTTAAAATATTTATTCCTAATCTACAATGCACATGAAGATAATGTTGGAACACTACTTACGCAATCCCTTGAGCAAGGGTGGTGGCGACCTTCATTCTCATGCTCCAGTCCAAACTCCTACCTCCTCTAGGAATATGGTGTAGCCACCTATCCAGGGGTCCATTGATGATGAACTCGTACAGAATATAGCGGTCACCATGATGATAGCAACATCCTTTGATAGATACCAGATTTGAATGATGAAGTCTTGCAACCCTTCCAATCTCAGAGTAGAACTCTTTCTTCCTCTGAATACCGCACCTCTTCAATCTTTTCACAGCCACCCTTGAACCATCAGGTAAAAGCCCACTATAGGTACCACCTGTTTTGGCGTCCCCAAGGAGACGATTTGCTTCACTGAAATTCTTTGTCATGGACTTTACTTCATCACGACTGAAAATTTTCCAAGACGGGGGAACTAATGCTAATGAAGCACGCAATGATCTTTTGCGTCTTTTACTTCGCCTAAATACAAGAAGCCATATCACAATAGCCAAAGTAGTGCAAAGGATCAACCCACTAACAACTGCAAGAATAATGAGATACTCCCTGTGGCACCGCATATGGCGACACTTGCTCCCTAATGTAAAATTTAGAAGATTATATAAAAAACAATTAAGGAATGTAATAGATTTATCCAGATAACAATGTAGGCCTGTATAATGGTTAGCTAAAATGCACTTCTCGTGGGGAAAAAAAAGGGGACTATGAAGTTTTTAATCACATATTATAACCACACTATATCAGGGAAAGAGTTTTGCTACTACTTTTCAAAATTACACTGGGTGAAAGAAACTATTAGAGATAAATTGGTCTGCAATCACTTACCAGCATCAAGTGTGCATATAGAAGCATGAGTTACATTGCATCTCTCAGCTATAATAGCACCACTGATTATCGATGTACACAAATCCACCGACTTAAAGCCATAGCATGAGAAATTTTTGCAACTTGAGTCCAAAGTTGTCTTAGGAGCAATACTCTCATTCCAGCTAGAAGCATTATCAGACCATTTCCAACCCAACCCAGCTGTGATATTGATGCTCCTTCCACCAACCCAGCATCCGTTACTATCATTGCCACAGAGCTTCTGGACAAAGTTCAGTTCTTCTGAAGATGTTATGGCAGCCAGGTTTCCTCCAAAACCATTGCAGTAAGTCTCTGATTCATTCCATTGCAAAGACGTAGCATAATATTTGAAGCACTTTTTCCCTTTTGGGCCGTTAAACCAACCAGGATCACATCTTCCTGCTTGCGAAACAATAAACAACGGTGCCAAAGAGATGAGACATAATAACTTGACCGGTAAAAACAAAAAATATACACTAAGAAAACCACGTTGAGAGGTCCAAATAAGTTCCAGTTGAACTAGTGTATTAATATAATCCAAGGGAGGAGTTCCTCAATAGGAAAGGAACTGGACAACATTATTCATCAACGCCATCATTGATCCACCATAAAAGCATATATGTTATCTCCCTCAAATAGAACCAAAGTTTCACTTTAAGAGTAACCTAAACATGCCTTTAAGCATGAAATGAGCAGAATCTACGTCTGCTCCTTTCTCGACCGAAAAAATAAAATTCAATCAGGTGATTATGACCACCAGGATTTCTTAGAAGGATAATCGATCAGTCAAATAGAATATTGTTCTAAGAATATTCCAAGAACAACTGTCTTGAAGGAATGGAAATCCATAACTTTGCAAACTGGAAATGAGAGGCTGGTCAATTAATTTTTTAAGAAGAAGTAGGAAGCTGATAAATAAATAGTTGCAAGTTCATCTTCTATTTTTGTGGGATAACTAGTTGCAAGACAGTCTTTTATGGCCTGAGCTTAATGATGCTGGGAAGTGACGTAGTTTTCAAAATCTTGATTTATGAATGATAGTTTGGCACAAAACACCCGAACTTGTAGACCTTAAACCTATAGAAACTTGATAAACAAGATTGTATTTGTCATCCTTTATTTGCTTCAAATCCAAAAGTTCACTATGCTAGTTTAAATAAGCAATTGGCACATAGATATACACGCATTACATAAGAAGCACCAGTAAGAAATCCCAACATATTATACACAAAGTAACATAGAGTAGTTGAACATTAAGTTGAAAAGATGATTATAGATGCAACTCCATTACTGATTCTGAAAAGAGCTCTAATCTAATCAGCACAAGCCAATCTATCAGTTCAAAGAAAATAGACAGAACAATAATCTAATTAATTCCAAAACATTACCATCATCATGACTTTGATTCCCAGCAGAGGAAACTACTTGTGTCTTATTAGAAACCTGAAAAAAAAATCAAAAAAATAAAAATCAAAACTTTCTCCAAATTCACACACTAAAATGAATTCTGACAACATATTCAGACACCCTTTTCTCTAAATAAAAAGTTATTACTATAATCTTTTCTTTACTTACAGAAGTAGAAGCACAGAGGTGAAGCAGAAAACAAGAAAGTAGAAACAAAGGGAACGGAAGTTTAACAGCCATCATCACTTGTTCTCACTGTATAGCAAAACCTAGACTAATTTTGAGTGTGGGGTTGGGCATTGTGGATAGGGTTTTTCGTTTAGATGGAAAAAAAAAAAAAAGAAGAGTAAAGAGTTCACATTTGGAGTCTCCAATGGTTAGTTGAATTTTCTTTGAAGAAGAAAGTGTTTGTTCAGACAGAGTAGTTAATTTCTCACCTTATGTTTGTCCCCACCATTTTTAATGACTTCCTTCAAATTTAAGGAACAACATTTTTCTTAATATAAAAATTTTGGATTAGATTTTAAAAAAGATAAAAGAGTTAAAAATACTCTTAATTTTATATTTCTGTCGTTAAAACAAAGTTATTTATACTCTTGTCATTACTAATTTCATTATTTATATCCCTCAATTAATTGAAATCCCCAAAATTAAATTAAATTAACCTAATTTTTTTTAAAAAACCCGTTCCTCAACTTAAACTCAATACCCAACTTAATTGGGTTAGGTTTTTAGACGGGTTGGGTATTGGGTTTAAGTTGAGGAACGGATTTTTTTAAAAAAAAATTGGGTTAATTTAATTTAATTTAATTTGGAAATTTCCGTCAATTGAGGGGTATAAATAGTGAAATTAGTAACTGTGAGGTTATAAATAATTTTATTTTAATAGCAGGGATATAATCAACTAAAAAATCAAAATTGAGAGATATATTTTAACCTTTTCCTATTTAAAATTTTCTTTCAATTTTAAAATAATTTAAAGAGAAATAATATATCTAGAAAAAGTTAGAAATTGCATAATTAGAAATATATGAAATGATTTGGAAAAATTTTATGTTTGACTCATTATATTAACTCTAGAGTTTTCTATTCCATGAAATTTTAATTAGGTACTTAACTTTCAATAAAATAGCACTTTAAATTTATTTAACCATTATATGTGTCATTAATTTAATTTAATTTAATTAGTAAAAAGGTGTGTTATACGCGAATTAAAAGCAAAAATACACTTAAAAGTTACTAAAACAAATAAAATTCTTAAATAAAATTCTTAAATAAAATCCTAGATTCGCTATCGGTACATCCAAAGTCTTCAAATTCTAAATTCACATCTCGATGGAAAGATTAAGATGTTTTAACCCTTAATCAGAGATTTTGATCCGTATTCTATGTATATAAGTAAACCTAATCGAAATACTGCTGCTAGACAAAATGAGACCTACATAACACAAATCTAAATTTATCAGAATCTAATACCAATATCGAATTAGAAAATCATTTTTTTTTAAAAATAGGACTGCATATCTATCAAAATGGCTCATATTTGCACTTATCCTCAAATATAAGGGACCAATTGTGTCTATTTCTGATACTTAATTAGTCTGTAATAACTTGGTGCCCAATGAAAGGAGTTTATGCCGCCGGACTTTGACATCAGTGTGGAATTTTTGGGAAATGGGTGGCCGGACGATGGAATGGGCGGCGAGAGCAAACCACCTGGGGGGTATACCTCGGAAAGTGGTGATCACGGCGATAGGTACTTTCGCTAAGGCGGTGGCCAATCTATTGAACACCACCACCGTGCACAACGGCGACGTCCTTATCCGGCTAGTTCGATCCCGCCCAGCCGGCGTTCCTCTCCTCACCGTCAGCAATCACATGTCCACGTAAGTCACTTTATCTCTTCATTACGAGCTTCCTGTGACAGAAAAAACTTGTTAGTAGAAATTTGGTGAAATTGTTTATTGGGTAAACTAGCTATTATTGAATTTAATGCTTAACGGACGAAGAATTACAGAAATATTTTGCTGATATTTGGTATGCGTATAGAGGATTCATATAAAAATTCCATTTTGGGGTTGAAGCATAGTTGATTTAATCATTGATAGAGTGAGTTTCTCGAATACTTTGATTGTTGTAGTCATGTCTCTTATTTCCTATTGTGTTTCTAACTGCAGTTTAGATGACCCAGTTATGTGGGCATTCAAAGGTTTTCCAATTTGTGATGCAAAGCTGGCTCGATGGGTACTGGCAGCGGAAGACATATGCTTTAAAAATACAGTATTGTCATACTTTTTCCGGATCGGTGTGTAATCTGTTGGTCTGGTACACTTCTGTTCTTGTATTTTCATGCCCTATCTTTTGGTGTTTTTATTACTTGTACGAACTTTATATCACAGTGGGATATATGGTAGACCATTCCTCAGTGTGTTTGGTGGGTGAATTGGAAGGAGAGGAACCAAAGATGTTTGAAAGTGGACATGTATTTTCATCGCAGATGCATTCCCTATGAGAATATTTACACTATGAAATATATATTTATTTCCCTTTTGGGATTTTGGTGTAGGCTAGAAGATGTCAAATACAGTTAATAGGATGATAGGTTTTCTCAGCTTCTTACAGTAATCGTAAAGGAACTGATCCGTATGTAATTTTTGGCATAATCCTAGTGCGTCATTTTACAACCTTACTATTCCTCAAAAATGAACTCCATATCATAGTAGGGTTCAAAAGTGAAAAGCAAAATGCAAGTTATGCTTTGTCAGTGGACATGCATTTTTGAAGCAGAATATTAGGTTCCCTTAGGAAGGACAGAGCATGTTCTTGCATAGATATTCTATCAAGAACTTTGAGAATATTTGGAGATCATTTACTTTTTAATGGTTCAGTAGTGAAGGGGCTTTTGGGTGTAGGAATGATGCAATAAATGTCTTTGGAATCAGCTGCATAATCGTGATAAAAATGTGTAACTACCTATGCTTATATAAACTGAAGTAGTGCCTCAAAACTCAAGGTGATATCTTGGTGGAATAGGACTTAGGTTTAGCTTGAAATTTCCATGTTAGCACTTACTCGAATCTGCATGCGCACCTGTGGTTTCTGTACCATTCACATGGATATTAAGCTTTTCATGCTGAGCGGTTATTCAGATTATCCATCCTCTTGTAGAGCAAGCTTCCATATCGAGCAATTATTCATTTCTGCACCTATACTTCTGTTCAACATGCTTCCGTATTGACCATTCAGATCTGGATCTGTCACTGTGTGGTTTATTCTCCACTGACATGTATAACAGTCAATTTTATATTTTCTTATTTATTTCCCTTGCCAAAACGTGAAACAGAGGACTCTTAATTTGATGTGCATTAGGGGATTTGAGGTTCTGGGTTTCATTTGCAGGCCTACATGAATTCCTCAATTTAATACAGAATGTAATTGTTGGTGGGGGTTACTACTCACTTTGTGAAGATGTGCAGGGAAATGTATACCAATAACAAGAGGGGGTGGAATATATCAAGAACATATGAACGAAGCTCTTGATCGTTTGACTGAAGGAGCCTGGGTAATTCGCCTTTTACCCTTGTATTCTTTCATCTAGTAATGGATGTTAATGTGAATTTTTTTATGCTTAGTCAATTGATCTTTTAGTACGCTCTAGGTGTTATTTTGTTACACTAAAATGGATATGCATATGATATGATATTATGTTATTCTGGAATTGAGGATTGAATTTGAAATGATCCAGTGTCACTTAACATAACCTCCATTTCATCCAGAAGTCATGAGAATGATGTATAATTTTGTCAACATTTCCTATTAAGTTTCCGCTAAATTGAAATGACATGTTTGGCTAAAGACCAACTTCCAAATGGGCAGCTGCATACATTTCCAGAAGGGAAGGTCTGTCAAGAAGATGCTCCTATAAGACGATTGAAGTGGGGAACTGCCAGTCTCATTGCTCGTGCCCCCGTGACTCCAATTGTCTTGCCAATTATCCATCATGGTTTTGAAAAGGTAGGTTCTTGAAATGATAGCTGTCCACACACAGAAACGAACAATGGGGCTAATGCCTAAATAGCAAGGGACAATGGATTCATTTGGTTTCGGTTGTGTAGGCAGGCCTTAGGATGTTCGAATTATTGTTATTCTGTAATTTATAGTACCTGTCTAGTTATATATTTCACATTGGTTGTTTAATTCACGTGTTTCAGTACTAATTTTATCGTAAGAATAAGGTAGTGTAGCTTAGAGGATAGAGGTTATGCAGTTCCGAAAGTGTTTTAAAATCACTCTGTTGCATTTATGGCACTGCTTCATTGTTGTTATGAAGTTCATTGATTCTTTTGTGAACTTCACCAATAAATTGAGCCAATACCGTAGTTGCTTTCTCCTTTCCCTCCTGTCCAATCCTAGGAAAAGAAAATAAGAGTGGCCAAAATGCTGCGACTGTCTAACAATCTTCTGTTCTTCTTTATGCTCAAACCATTTTTGAGGAGATAAAATACGCACACATGCACACATGCATCCGTCGTATCCATATTAAGTATTGATTATGAGATTGAACCAGCGTTTATTTATATAATTCAAATTTGATCCTTGGGATTGTGATGCATTGTGTGCTTTGATCAATTTTCAGGTTATGCCTGAGAACTATGCTTTTGGGAGAAGACCTCCAGTCCCTTTATGGAACCAGGAGATAAAAATAGTTGTTGGTGAGCCAATGGAATTCAACCTTCCTGAACTGCGAGAGATGGCTCTATCTCAGTCTCGGGATTCATCATCTTCCAGTGGGCAGTGGCCAAGAAACATCCTCGGGGGATTGAACGAAGCAGCACAAAAATGTCTGTACATGACTATATCTGATCAAATCCGAACTACCTTGGAAAACTTAAGGAATTTTAGTAAATCTTATGCCAAGGCAGAGCAATAAAGTAGGCAATTTCCAAGCATTCAAAGATAAATTCATAAGTTGCATCTGTTTTGAAGGTCTTGTAACTTTTCATTTCAAGATTTTGTTAGTTTGAGGGTAGACTTCTCATCCCCTTAATTGAGGACACGGGGTAATATTTTCCCAGTATCATCCTTGTAGCTGCATTTTTTTGCATTTTGAAATGAAAGATTTCACATCAATTCTTGAAAACTGATTATTGTGGAATTTTCCCTCAAACCTTCTTTTAGCTGCTGACAAGACAGATTCTTTATCTTTACTAGAAATAGTAATAATGGAACCATGTTTTAAAGTTGCAGTATTCTTTTGTCAACCTCTAAAGAGAAACCACTGATAGATAAAAACATAAGGTGAAAGTCACCCACCAAGAATGTGATCTAGTAGTCAATGATGCAACACGATAAATTATTAATTGTACTACCCCAATATGGTGTTGACAATTACTAGATTTTACAAGACCTTCTTCTACTCCATTCATTACTTGACATAGATAGATAGATAAAACTGAATGCCAAGGTGATAAGCCAATGATAGTTGTAAAAATATGCAGCATCCTCCGCTATTCCCTTTTCCAGTTCCCAGCCCTGAAAACAGTAGAAGAAACTGTGTCATCGCTTTTACCACTCCCCAAAACTACGCACCAAGATTATCTGAACTCATACATCTCAAAGGATGGACACCCCTTTGGTGTCCTACCGTCATTGTTGAATCTACGGAACAAACAATCTCTTCCATTCATCACTACCTCAACCCACAAGCTGGTATCGATGAACCCAATTCGTTTCTTGAAGAATTTTCAGCTCTAGCGTTCACTTCAAGAACTGGGATTACTGCTTTTTCACAAGCTTTATCTATGAACCCCACACCCCCATTAACCCCAAATGGAGAAATTCTCACAATTGCAGCTTTGGGTAATGATGCTGAGCTTCTGGATCGAGATTTCATTCGAAAAATGTGTGAAAACCCTGAAAGAATTCGAGTTTTGGTTCCTTCAGTTGCAACCCCATCTGGGTTAGTGGAGGCATTAGGATTAGGTCAAGGAAGAAAAGTGTTATGCCCAGTTCCATTAGTGATTGGGTTGAATGAACCACCTGTTGTGCCGAAATTCCTTGATGATTTATCGAAAAGGGGGTGGATTCCATTGAGATTAGACGCGTATGAGACGCGATGGGCAGGGGCGACATGCGCTGTGGATGTGGTGGCAAAGAGTGAAGAAGAGTGTGGATTTGATGCAATTGTGTTTACTAGTACTGGAGAAGTGGAAGGTTTGTTGAAGAGTTTGGAGGAATTTGGATTGGATTGGTCAATGGTGAGGAGGAGATGTCCAAGAATGGTGGTGGCAGCTCATGGCCCTGTTACAGCTGCTGGTGCTGAGAGTTTGGGTGTTGGCATTGATGTGGTAAGTTCAAATTTTGGTAGCTTTGATGGTGTGGTTGATGCATTAGCTCATAAATGGAAATCATTGCAAAATCAAGAATCTTGAAATTTGGTTTTTGCTCATCATTCAAAGTTTTGATTGGAGCTACAATTTGCTATTTATAGCCAAAACTTCTATAATTGTCTAGTTCACAGCATGTCTTTTTGTTTTGTACTAATTTGGAAAAGTTTTAGTAATTTTTGATGTTGTGAGTTACAAAGTTTTGATGTTTATATGGATGCAACATTTCTCATAAATGCAATCAATTGGAAAATCAAGTCTTTGAACTTGTTTTTGCATTCTACGAATAGGCTCACTCGATACACTAAGCTCCTGCTAAAAATAGTTTTACACTTGATCACACGAAGTCACGAACGAGTTGTGCTAAGGTTATGTTGGTGTGTGTTGAGTTCCAAGTTTAATAGCTTTACTAATGTTGGGTGTAACCAAATCTTCTGAGGGAAGAAGAAATAGAAAAGGAAGAAGGGAGCGAGGTTCCAGAATTCATCTAATACCGAGAGTCTTTCAGAAACAGTCTGGTAAAGCTTGCAGCTACCTCTCTAGACCCTATTTAGTAGGATTTTACGTTCGTTACACAACACCTCTAACCTCCTCATAGACAATTATATTAGAAAAAAAATTAGAGATCCATCCATTTATAGTATTGGGCTACAAACTCTTTTTGGTTTGGGCTGAATTTGCAATATCATTTCTTTATGCAAAATGGAAATTATTTGAGGGTGGACTTTAATGAAAAACATGTTTCCACATTAAAAACTCCCCCATGTTCTTGGGAAATTAATGCACAATTACTGTTTTTTTCTGAAAATGCTTAGCAGAGTCATTAATCATAATCCATTGTCATTACTCCTACAATTGATTAAATTAGGATACAATCATAGTGATTTGACATCACCACCTTTCATTTAAAAGTGAAAAACAGTAAAAGAGAAAAGACAATCACTTTTTAGCTTTATTTTGGCCTCTCCTCAAAATCATAAGAACTCTTAACAAACACTTCCAGTAAAGGCACATGGTGGATCCAAATCTTCAATTATATAAAAAAGAGTCATACCAATAGTGATATTCCATTTTTTACCGATAAATTTATCTGCTCAAGGAACACGAAAAGTTAATTTACTAAAAGCATAAGTATTTACTATTTTTTTTGTCTATCTTCTATGAATTTTTTTAAAAAATCGCGTCAAACCTGTTGATTATTGATTATAATATGAAAAATTAGCGAAAGAAATCAAGGATAATTAATTAATCTAAGCAGCAGGCTGCCATAATGTAATCTAGATTGTCTTCAAATATTTGTACGATTGTCTGGCCTACAAAATGAAATTGCCAATAAAATATATAAAACTAAAGCAAATTCGTAGCGCATTAAATATTGACTTAGTAATCAAAATTAATAAAAAGTTATGCTCCCAACTTCCTCATGTTTGTCTTAAATACAAAAGCACTCTACTTTGACTTTTTTTTTTAGTAACATTCTTTTCTTGATTTATTTTTTTGATTTTAACTTATCACAAATTCAAAATATAATCTAATCATATAAACATAAAATATATTATGCGAGTTTTCTAAAAAAATGAGAGATATTTTCTTTTAAATTAACTAAAAAAATAAATAAAACGAACAAATTGAAACGATAAATTTATATGTGTTTCCCACTTTTAATTGTTGGTACTATTGGATTTTGCCAAGTCATGGCCTGCCTTCTTCTAATAGTCACAACTTTCATATACCTAAAAATAAATAAATGGTTTTTATTGCTGGCTAAGTAGTGTAGATATGTGGAAATTCTCGTGAGCTTATTTAATTCCCCATCTATCAATTATTTATTTTTATTAACTTCGAATTCAATTTATTTTTTTCATTCGTTTAATATCTCGAATTGTAATTAAATTCATGATCAAGTATTACAAGACTCATTCAGAATGATATTTCAAATTAAATATCTTTTTAATATATTCAGATCTCGATTACAAAACTTCTGATTAACAATGAAGCAGTACCATCATTGCACCGCAATTCAAATCGGCGACCAAATCCAAATTCATTTGGTTTTTGAGGTTTTGCGAGCCGGCATTGCCGGCAGTTCTCACTAGGATATTCATGTCACATTCATTTCCTAAAACAAATTGTAGATAATAAAGTCATTTTGGAACAATTTAAATACTACTTCATTAAAATTTTGAAATTTATTATCGCATTATTATATTTTACTAAGACAATTTCAAATGAAGAGGGGAAATTAAACTTCATGTTTACTTGGGAGAAACTAATTAAATCACATATACTAATAGAAAATACATGACTTGTAAATAATCCACGGCTAATCCGTAGTTAAATAGCTCCTAGCTAATTGAATTTTCTGTAGTTAAATAGCATGAGACGTTTGTTATATAGCTATAAAATTTTATCCGTCATTAATTCCTTTTTTTTTAAAATTGTAATAGTATATAATCCAATATAAGATGTGTTTAGCCCATATTTATGTACAAACACATTTTATATAAAATTATGTGGCATAATATTTTATGTTGTACAATATTTATTTGAAAATTTCCTATAAATTCCTCAAGATATAGAGACATGACATGCCTAAATTAAAAAACAAAGACTAATGTTGTATGTTAATTTTAGTTGATGAAAAGTGACCTATGATAAATCGGAGAGCATTTTAGTAGCTTAATTGATTCACGATTCAAATTTTTACTTTATCGACGAGTGCTCCTTCCCTGATTTCCTCTTCCCCGACCCCAAACTTTTAAATATATTTTTTTTTAAAAAAAGATTTATGATAAACCAAGAGTTGGGATTTTGATAATATGCAAATTTTAATTTATGGGGTAAACGTAAACGTATTTTTTAATTTGGTGTTAACTGATATTTACATCATCTAACATTGGACGTGTACAACTAGATATATAAATTTATATAAAGTTAAACAAGTGTTATGTTACATAAATACACACAGGACGCACTATCACAAAAAATAATTTCTTAATTGTCACTAAATATATACTTTTAGCGGCAATTAACACTCTTTGTATATGTCCTTAAAACTTTTAGCGAGATTAGATCTAAATGATACTTAACTAATCCCGGTAAAAACTTTACGACTCTTTATTAATATGTTAATTTATTGCCGCTAAAGATTGTTTTGTTGTAGTGATGTCACATTAAATGCAAATTGTCACATAATACGTATTTATCTACTTGTTTTAACCTTATAAAAGATTATATTTTTACTTTGTGCTCACATACCAAAATTTGAAAAAATATTTTTTTCAGCTAATATCAAATTAAAAAATATCTTTATATGTTATTTCTTAATTATTGAAAGTATAATCACTGAATTTTCATGTGGTCTATGCATCTTAATGAAGCAAATAGAGCAATAAGGACTCACATGACACTGACTTTACATTGCATGTCCTTATTCATATGTCACTATTAAGATGAACATATTTAAAGGGGCAAGGAAGCTTTAAACTATAAATTGTGATTTTGAACTATCAAAGATCATGGGAGTATTTATTATATTACCATAAGGTCATATCGAGTATTTCTTTCCGTCTCAATTTATCTGATATATACTTTTTAAAATCAATTTTTAAAAAAATAACATATTTTATTTATTTGACAAATATTCAACATGCTACCAACAATTAGCTTAGGTTCCAATTTATATCCATTTATTTGGCAAAAATTTACAAAAGTATACTTTTTAAGATCATTTTAAAACATTGAAAATTTCCTAAAAT